GGATGGGTATATAAATACAGTGGTAGGATAGGATAGTAATAAATTGTTAGCAGTTGTGGGAAAAAAATAAGTTGGACAAAAATACATTGCTGCAGTTAATTCCCTGGAAGCCCCTCTGTGTTCTGCTGAGATGAAACTGGATGAAACAGAGAAAAATAGGAATTGAGGAATAAAGCAAATTAGTAACTTAATCCACCGCAGGATCAAAAGAATGCGATTGGATTATATTTTGTTGCATCACAGCAAATGAAAGATGTTTTAGATCAAAGGCAGTGATTTTCAGTGGGGGAATATGCAGATGCATTATTGAAGATGGTGAACAAAGTGTGTGCGAGGGGGGTCGTGTTTGGTGTCATAACTTGGGAAATGTAGCCTCTCCTATTCAGCAGACCTGTGTAACCCAACCTGGGCCTCTCATTGTGTCTTTATTTGTTTGATTTCAAGGTAGGGACATTACAATAAAGCCAATCTGGAAATGGGATCGGGCTGTGACTGATGGTAATTACTTGCTGTCTACACCATTAAGAATTTAATGTAATTTCAGATAGACTTTCCTGGAGAGAGAGAGGGAGAGAAAGAGAGAGAGAGAAAAAAAGAGAGAGGTTGCAGGGGCAATGGTTGAGCTGAGTCTGTAGTCCATCTGTAAAGCCCACATGTATAAGAAAGAAAAACATGTGCAAGGCAGAGAAATACCATATTTGGGAGCCAAGAATGTGTGCAGCTCCCTATGTATGATGTCTTACAGTCTTAACACCTCTTCAGCTTGAGAATGTCTTTTTAATAACCTGGATATAGTATAAAGTACAGAACACTAATCCCTGGGGTCACAAAGAGTTCAAGAACCTGATTTAAGTCAAGTCACTGTCCATTCTGCCATGGTCTGAGAGGCTGGACTGGCTGTCTGTGGGATTACTACAACAGGAGGTGATAAGTCATGTAGAAAAGCTGAGAGGTCTTGGTCTGGGTGATGCCCTATTCCAGCTGTTTCTAGCCATGTAAAACTCAGTAGGATCCATATAATGAGACAGAGATATCTAAATGAACCCATTGAAGGTTAAAAACAATTAAGGTTGGGGTTAAAGGTCATTTGGAGGATCATGATGGATAGAGGAATGTATTGATCAATTGCTATTTGATACTGTACAGTAGAATCTTAATTTACTGACTGCAAAACAAATTGCTAGGGCTGCAGACAAATCTGAATTTTACAGCATATACTAACAAAAGATTCGGATATAGTTGCATGTAGTTTGTGGTGTGGCCTACAAAACACTGCAGGAAAATAGAAAGTGTATAGGAACAGAAAGTATTTTAGTTGTTTTGTCCACCCTATGAGTATCAAATCATACTGTTTAAGCATGTAACTATAATTGTGGCTACTTGTATTTGTAAACAACAGAACACAGAAAGGCTCAAATAACAAAAAAAGCACAAATAGCATATTATTCCATTGTTGTATTCAGGATTATTACTGCATTGTTATTGCAAAAGTATCTCACCGTGTGCAGAGGGAGTGTGACGTCATGATCAAGCCTTACCCATTATTAACCAGAGCCACTGTTTGTTATTACACACAGGAGCATACTCTGTCATCATAACAGCTGGATTTAGGCCATAATAGGCCTAAAGGGCTTGTATGGCTGTTGTATTTCCTGTCTCAACATGCTGAGGGAAAATGACTAATTGAAACAGTCAGAATGGGTGAAAGAGAAAGGTGATACAGTGAAATAAAACCCTCATTGTTATTATTGCAATTAATCATATGTTGTAATTGTTTGCTCAGTGTAAAAAAGAAAAAGAAAAAATTGTGCAGAGACCATCTTACATTTTGTGTCACTTGGCTGCAAACAACCATTGGCTGGAAAGTTGACTTTTTTATTATAGGCAGATATGGAATGCATCACCAAGGTATTGATTCAGTATTGATTTTGCTTGATAAATGGGGAGGTAGATCATGACATAGCACCTGGCTCGCCAACAGTGCAGCATTTGAACCTGTTCCCACAGAAGAAAAAAATACCTAAATACTTATGTGCCATATTTTATACAAAGTTTTCTGGATACTTTCTTACAAAGTGAAGGTCAAGCCAGAATATTCCTTGATCTTTGGATAAAACGTAATCCTAAAAGATCATCTATATGACTAAATTAAGCTCAAGGGCAAACCTTTAGAAAAATGTTGTTCCAAATTCTTTTAGTCAAGGACCTCAATTGCTTATCTGTAACTTAAAATAAAGGTGTCTTTCACACACAGATAATTTTTGGAATGCAAGACAGGAGGCTGTACTAACACACTGAACTTGTTTGCAAAGGCATCTGACTCTTTCTTTCCCTCCCTCTTTTGCACACAGAAACACATGTATTGTACATGTAGGTATGACTAAGATCAGTAGAATGAACCATGTGAGTTATAAACAGCTTGACAGAAAGTAAGTGTTTTTGAATATGTTGTATAGTAACCACATTGCATAGCGGTTCTTCTCAAGGCAAACTAAATGCATTAATTTTTTTTTTATTACAACCCCTATTTTGTTACCTGTCTTGAAATACATTACTGTGTGCATACATATATATATATATATATAGAGAGATTTATATAAATAAATATGATGAGAAATATGATCATATTTCATTCTATTTGTGTAATGCACAGTTCGGCCAGAGGTGATTACTGAGGATTACACTGAGCTGTTTCTAGCCCCTGCTCTGTGCTTACATGACGTGCTTTGGTACTGAAATACTGATTAAACCCATACGTAGAGGCTGCATGTGTGAATACATTCTCAGTACAGGTTACTTGGTTTTTCCTGTTTTGTAAGAGCCAAACCTGAACAGGTTTAAAAGGACAGTTGATACTAGTGAGTTCCTCCTTTGGGAGTGTGCATAGCTAACAGGATACAAAGCCAACTTTCATAGCAAAGACATAGGGCAAAGGCACATCAGGTTTTTATAGCACAAGGAACTATTAGTTCATCTTGGCGAAGATAAAGCATCAAAACCACTTTCACAATTTCTTTGGTAATATTTCACAAAATTGTGCTTCTACTAGGAGTACAGTGAGAAATGTTGCTTGGACAAAATTGATTTGATCCTCAAATGTTCAAGACAGGAGCAGCTGTAGCTACAAGTGAGCACAGTGTTTTTCCTTCTAAGTGTGACTATGGGTGTTACCTCACCAGCTCTGACCTATGCAGGTGATGACAACAACAACACAGCCTCACAGGCTTTTGATCTTTAACTGTTTCATCACGCTCTGAGGTATAATGCAGTAATTCATTAGTACACCAGATTTAAGCTTGTCTGATGAGGATGCAATCTAAACTTGACCTAATTTGACTAATAATACACTCAATTATTCATACTCTACTGAAAGAGGTTCTCGCAATTTTTTGTCATGTTACCAAATGAGTATTGCTTTAACCATATACTGTACATCTGAGGTATATTCACATACATAATTGTAGAGTGTGATTCACAGATGGAAAATCTGCATTTTGCGTGTTTGTCAGTTTATTACATTTCAAAATATAGTCCGGTTGTTGTGCTTTCAAACATAATCAATATAAATACAACTAAAACAGCTGTCTAGTGTTAGGCTGTGCATTAAACAACCTGCCAATCAATCTGTGAGTGATAGAATACATTGCCTTTAGACATAATAAAATATCACAGCGTTCTCGTGCACACATATTTGAAAATATGTAGGTAAATGTGGGCAATATCAATACAGAAGAAAATCCAATGTATTATAAAAATAAAAATATCTTTAATAGTTACTTTGATTTTCTTTTACAATCACTTAGCATGTTTTCACAGACACATTGAGAATTGCATGATTATTTAAAGAAGGGTGATGAATGTAACTTGGAACAGTTTTATGACAAAGAGGTTTGGACACAATTCAAATTGTTCAATGAAATGAAAATATATTACTCTTTGCTATACCGAAATGGCATTTAAGGTTTTACGTACATACATGATCAGTAACTACTGTGAACCTTCACAGAAAGTAGGACCTGGTTACTTACCATGGCTCATGACGTCATACAAAATTTGATAAGAAAAATGTTCTACTCAAGGTCCACTTACTAGCTTTTTCCAGGGCTTTCAACTTCATCTAACGGTATATCACTCATATATCAATGTATATATCATGGAATGCATATCACTATATTAAAGCTGAGATAAAAATTAAAGGCTCTGGAAAAAGTAATGAACATTTAGTCAAGTTTGTGGGCAAACTTTAGTTTCAGAAATGGATGATCATGCTCACCATGCAGAATGCTTTGATAAGACATTCATGCATAGTGTGTGAGCATATTTACAACACAGTTATGGAATTTGTTGTGTATTGACACAGTGAGCTCTTCAAATATAACAGGATTAAAATGCATCAAATAAATTAAGTAATACGTTTTGATTAGCCTTTTTTGTATCAATTATTATTTAAATATGAATATATAGCTAAAAATGTATTTATCACTTCTCCATGATATTCGTAATAGTGCAGGGTAGTGTAAAGAGATCAAAATCTTCTGAAACAATAATGATGAAAGAAACATTTTTTGTGCCTTGAACTGTCTTTTGTCCTTACATGCAATGCAAAAGTTTTATATAAAGTTGTAAAACATTTTTACAGTATTTACATTAGACCATAGATTGAGTAAATCTTAAATGAGCTGCTCTAATGACTTTGTAATAAAGCTGTTATTACTTTGACACCAAGACTTACTTTGGTTTTCTGACACTTCACATCATCTTCACAGTATCATAGTTCATAGATATTATAAAAAAGTAGAATAGCGAATGATACTGTCTGCTCTTTTTAGTGATAGGAACTCATGGAATATAATTATGTCAGATCACAATATATTGGAGTAATAACAATCATATGACAAAAACAAAAAGAGCAACTTCATGTAAGAACTACACTTCTCACAGTGAGTTTTGTAAACATTCATGTAAACAGTGGTGGTTTTGGATGTGTGGACAACTGAATATCAGATGTTTGAGATCTGCCTGAGCTTTCTGTTCACAGCCTGCATTGAGTCATTCTTCATTTTTAAAGGTATCTCAACTTCTGACCTTTGCTTTCGCTGCTTTTTAAATCTCTTACAGCATATGTAAGATGTCAGTGTAACAACCAAGAAAAACAGTCCCAGACTTGTCACTGAAAGAGCAATGATGACAGGCTGACAGGGGAACAACTCGTACCTCTCAGGCCCCTCTCTCATCTGGCCAATGTACCAGGGTCTTTCCTCTACCTCAACGTCAGCCTCTCTGGTCAGCAGACTCTGGATGTAACTCTCGTTGCTTACTGTTTCATTGACAAAGAAGTTAACCATAACTGTTGAGTAAAGCGGTTCAGGCTGACCGTGATCACTGACCTTCACCAGAAGGCTGTAGAGGCCTCGGTTGCTGAGCTCCCTCTTTAACGTGATATTTCCTGTTTCTGGGTCAATGGCAAATGACCCTGGCTCGCCACCTTTCCTCTTAATGATACTATAGGCGATCACAGCATTCATGCCTGTATCCTTATCCACAGCATAAACCTCTGTGATTGATGTTCCAGGTAGTGTATTGGGCAGTACTAGCATGTAGGACTGATTGGACTGAGGGAAGAGGACAATAGGTGGGTTGTCATTTACATCCAACAACAGGACGGTCACCATAGTAACACAGGAAAGCGCAGGTTCCCCACCATCAACAGCCTCAATCCAGAGCTGGTATGTCCCTTGTTGCTCACGGTCCAATGATGTCTTAGCCCTCAGTGCCCCTCTGCCTGTGTCAATCATGAAGATGTCGCTGCCATTGAGGATGGAAAGGGCCACCCAACCATTTTCCCCAACATCAGCATCTGTCACAGAGAGGACCCCGATCTCACCGTAACCTGGGAAGTTTTCTGGCACGAAGAACGTGAAGTCCTTATTAATGAAGCGTGGACTGTTGTCATTGCGGTCTTGCACGGTCACCATCACAGTTGCAATCGACTCCCTCCTGGGTGTTCCCTGGTCCACTGCTCTCACAATGAACCGATATGTCTCTTTCTCCTCACGGTCTAGCGATGTGGCCACAGTCAAGACACCTGTCATACGATCCACAACAAAGATCCCAGGGGCGTCACCGCCAAGGAGGTATATGACTTCCCCACGGCTTTCACTATCCTGGTCTGTGGCTTGGAGCTGGGTCAGAAAGGTATTAGGTGGATTGTTCTCCTCCACAGATATTTTCACCAAAGACTGCTCAAACACTGGTGCGTTATCATTCTCATCCAATACCTGCACCTTGAGGAAGGTCTTGATGACAAGCTCTCGAGTATTTTTAGCAACCACAATTAGCTCATACTCCTGTGTCTTCTCATAGTCCAAGGGCTCTGTAGTCTCCAGTAGGTATTCATTCTTGAACAGCTGATAGGGGCTAAGCCTGAATGGACCAGTCCCTTCCAAATGGCAGTCCACCTTTTGATTCATATCAATGTTTTTGATAGTAAAAAAAGCTATTGGAGAAAACGCTGGCTCAGACTCCTTTATTGTCACCACCCCATCCTTTTCTGGTGCAATGTACCGGGGTATGACAGCAGGGGGTCCGGTAACAACTTTGATGATATGGACAGTAACAGTGGCAACAGCAGGGATACAACCAGGTCCATTGGCCAGAATAGTAAGTTTGTAAAATGTGGCTGTGCCAGTGTCTATTTTCCCTGCTAGCTTGATGACTCCTGTGATTCTGTCCAAATGGAACAAGCTTCTGGTGTCCCTTGGCACACGTTCACTGTAAGCATAGCTGATCTGAGCATTAGCTCCAAGGTCAGGGTCAAAAGCATGCAGACGTGCCAAATGTACCCCTTTGGTGTTATTCCCATGAAGAGTGACATTAATTTGTGACTCTCTGAATTGGGGGCAGTTATCATTCACATCTGTGATGACAATTTTTAAAGTAGCTGCGCCGAGTAGAGGAGGGGTTCCTCCATCCTCTGCAATTATATCTGTAATATATTCAGCCTGAGTCTCTCTGTCCAAAGTCTCTGTCACAATGAGAAAGGGTGTCAGCTCACCCCCCTCATTCTCTTCAACATCCAGTGTGAACATGCCAAAGTCATTAACAAGCCAGTAGGTCTGCACACCGTGAAGACCCAGGTCTGGGTCAACAGCAGACTGCTCCACTGCATAACGAGCATTAATGGGTGTGTTTTCTGGGACAAACATGCAGATCTCATCCACGGGGAACTTTGGCCTGTTGTCATTTACGTCCTCAATAAAAATCTTAACTTTGATGAGCTGAAAGTACCGCTGAGGCAAAACAAACACATCCAGTGAGAGGACACATCGCTGTCCCTCTGAGTTATCAGGACAGAGGGTCTCCCTGTCAATCTCTGTAGCAGATGCGTAAAGCTCCCCAGTGGTATTATTTAGGGTCACATATTGCTCACTGACCTTCTTTTGCGGAAGATTGAATAAAAAGGGGGGGTCAACAGAGAAATCCAAATTTAAGTCTACTCCAATGGCCCCTATGAAGGTCCCCCTGGGTAATCCCTCCTTTATCTTATAGATGAGCTCCTTTGCATGGCTGAAATTTGCAAAACAGGAAAGAGGGCTGGTGTAAAGCAAGAGGATGCACAATCCCTGTAATACAAGATAATTAAAGATAATAAAGTTTAATAAAAGTTACATAATAAAATGAGATTTGCAAACTGGAGTTTTCCTGGTGTAAGCTATTATTATTCAGTGTATGCATTAGTATGTAATTATATTAGCAGTTGCAGAACTCTTTAGACAACTACAAAAAATATTTGAACTCTAATCATTACACTTAACTCCCTTCATGACAATCATTTTAGCCAATCAATCAATGACACTAGATTTGTTAAAATTTTAAAGTTAATTTCAGTTAAAGTCAGAAAAAGGACACAAAATAAAAACAGTATAGTGTAGATGACAATGGGTCATGTCATATCTTAGCCTTAATAAAAGTATTCACAGTTTCCCAAAAGGTAGCTTTGTTTTAGTTAATTTTGTCTGTAAAGTGCATTATCATAAAACTTACCCAAATTCCTCCTCTTTTGCTAAGGCTGGGGTGTCTGCTGTTGAACATGTTTATGTCCTAGTCCAGCACTTTCCACTCATAGCAGGAAGAGTGACAGCTTAAGTAACCTGGGCATTTTGAGTGTTGAGCAACGCAGACCTCTGCTGAGTGCTATGTCTTATTGCCATCTGACTTGAACAAGTCATTCATCCCAGTGCTGGCTCAGGACACTCCCACAATATGCAAATCACCCCCCATGCTAACCAATGAGAGTCGTTAGCCACAGGGAAATCTACTCCAGTTCGCAGATTTCTTTTTAATGCATGCTATCAAAGGACACCGAAACAACACCTGCACTTTCTACACACACACACACACACACACACACACGTTGTCACTGGCAGCTGCATTCCTTGTATTCCTGTGAAAGCAAATGATTATTAACTGAGCTTATGATGACACAGGAGACTAACCAAAATGTAAAATATCCACAGCCTACAAATTACTTTAATCCAGCATTATTTAAAAAAAAAAATCACTACAAATAAAGAGAAAAACTGCACAGAATGAATTTTAGCAAAGTGTAATGATTTAATGATGATGCATAATGTGTCTTCCAACTCCGGAACTTTTATTACTTTATTATTTTATTAACTTTATCCATAGATAGATAGATTCTTTAGTTTAATGTTTAGCCTTTACGTATATATAATATCAATGCAAAAAGCATGAAAATACCATACACAAAGCCAGCAGAGAGGTGATCTTGGCATTATAAGTGGTGCTATGGTCTGATTCTGGATTGAGCCTTTAACTAAATCAACCCCCTAATCCTCATGTGTTCTAAATGCCAGGCCAGCTGTTTGCTGGGATTGGAAGCATACTGCGCAGAGAAATTGAGTGATTGAAGTTCTCTGGAAAAGGTCAGATTGAGACATTCACACACACTCATTCTATATCATACTGCATTAGGACTTAGGACTGCCATTCCTCATCATAAGGGTCTGGTAGATGGACAATACTGGGGCCTAAACATCATGCATTTCCTTTGTTACTTGATAAGATTATAGAAATAGACCAAATTCCTGGGAGTTTTATGAGGTACTGCACTATATTCAGTATATTTCAGTGACCTACAGTATATTATGAATCATCTACAAATCCATCTTTGTAGATCCAGAGTTTTTTGGCCTACGTGCTGAGCTAAGAAATATTCCTGTAAACACAGACTGTAGTCACTGTGGCCTGGGAGGCTTTGAAGCGTGGGAAAGCAGCATATCAAGGAAATGAGAGTCATTTGAGAGCTGCCTTGAGGTGCAGACAGTCTGAGGTGTTCAGCTATTGATCATCAGGGAGGAGTCAGTCCAGAGCAGTTACCCTAGATGACGCAACAGAAAAATATTTAGCTTCATAAGAACAATTTACTTGTCTGAAAAAAATAGCTGACGGAAAATACTCTCTTAATACAATCCAATCCAAGTCAAATTTCAGATTTGGTGGGGATCAGTAGAGCTTGTTTAAATACAACATATTAAAAATACAGCATATTTTGACAGTGTGTTTGAAAGTGATGCATCCCACAGCATTTCCTTTTTTTACAGACTAAATATCCTCCCTTTCTCAATGATCTCGGACCATAAGAATAAAATTATGCCACAATATGTTTAGTGTTTTATCATTATGAGCTGAGATTGTGTCATCAGAATTGACACTGTTTCTTCGCATTCAACTCAATAAAGAAATAATACTCCATCACAAATGGGGGCAGTACCATATCTTCCAATTACCATGGCTTGTAAATTGCAGAAAATCTCTGAATCCTGCAGGACTTTCAAATGCTCCCGCATATGTTGCAAGTATGGTGTTTGATACGATTTGTTAAATGTGTCAAAATTGACAGAAAAGGAAATTATCTCATGCTGCAAATTTATTGAAACGAGCCTCTGCATTACAAAAAGAGCATGTCTGAGACACCATTCAAACGTGTCATATGTTGACTTTACATTATTTACTCTGTAGCATATGCATTACAAGGAGCTGTAACACAAAGGCCAGTGATGTTATGTGTCTTTCAACCTGATACTGTGACCTCTGTGTCTTTTAGTCCACCTAGTCCCCAGTCGACTCAATATCAACTCACCAGCTCACAACTCGTCTTAATATCATGACAGGGGTAAGGGTAATTTTGTCATTTGGATATTTGGTAAAAGTAATGTTCTCTGACTTCATCTCACTATTATATTGCAAATACATGAATCGTCTTAGTGGGACAGCCGATACGTTCATTTTATATGACTGCAATGTTCTGGTTTCAAATCTGGCCTATGACCTTTGATTCATGTCATACCAGTTTCTTTATGTTCACTTTTCTGTCACTCCCCATTTATCTTAGAAAGAACAAAAGACTTAAAATAGTCTGAAAAAATCTAAGAGGTCTTTAAATACTTTTTGTACCTTTTACATCCTCTGCCACATGTGTGCTCTTTCTTGTAATGAATAGCTCTACAACAAATGTAACAGTGTGTGTAAATGTCTAAATTGTAGTACTACAAATGTTGAATGAGGACAAGAGGCAGTATTACTTTGGTCTTGATTACATCATTTGCTGCTCTGAGTTTGTGTGAGATGAGGCTGGGTAATCTCTGCCCAGATTTCCTAACAGATGTCCTGTTAACCTTGGTCTTTTCTTTTAATCAAAGTGCTGCTAATCTATCTTGATAGCTACAAGACAGTTCCATGGCTGTTAAGTAAGATTGATATTTGACCACAGAAAACTATCGTTTGAGGATATACAGTGACTTGCAAACTTTAGTTTGGAATCTGTAGAGTCATTAAAAACCATCTGTGCAACAGCCAACCATTTGCCATTTTTAAAATTGGACAAAATATGTTTTACATTGCCGATCTGTACCAAAAATAACATCTTGTGTGCATTTGAACGAACATACTAATTGGAAACAACATAAAAAATAAAAACAGGACATTTATAATATTCATTAATGAATACAGTTTCTGTTTGGGCCCTAATATATCACATTGTTTTGACCTGTCCTAATCAGTCTACTTTTGGGCCTAACAGTGTAGTTGTAATACTTCAGAATAGTGGAAAGCTGCATTATTCCCTAAATGTAAAAAGTCTGATGTGTGATATATTGTATGTGACATCCACACAGTTACAAATGAACCAAACAGTCCAAAAACATTGCACTCTCCTTAGACTGTAATTTTGAAAATGCCCAAACCAGAAGCCAGTAAATTTAGTTAGTTATTGAGCCAGCTGGAATGCTGATTCTATACTATTTCCAGAAATATGCATCACAGCTGTGTCATAATGAAATGTCTGTAGAATTGCCTCTTGGCAATCAATGCACTGCAGTCAGAAATACTTGTTTTATAACATATCAAACCTGCATTTCCTGTTTATCACAAAACAATAATTGCTGCAAATTGAACACAGATTTCAGTTTAATGGAGTACCACACAACGCAGTCTTCAGTGAGTCTATTCAACATGGCAGGATTTTCATTCAATCCTCATATATTATGTCAGTCAGAGTTTAGAATGGTCCATGGGAGATAGTCCTCATGGTTCTGCTTTACTTTTCAGTACCTGGATGCATAATAAGCACTATTTGCATATAGATATTCTCTGTTGACAAAATCCCAGTATTGAATTTTGGTACCAAGATGGGCTCTGAGGATATAAGACAATAAATAAACTATCCTCTTTCTTTATTTCTGTCTTGGAACAACATTTTCCAGCCCAGTGCACTCTAGTGTGCATCAGCCACACTGCAGCTGCATCCTTCAGTCTCAAGGGGACGACGGAGTAGCCATCACCAAGCAGTGGCAGAAAGGAGGAGTAGATTTTTGATTAGTTCTGCCTTTTGCAAAAATATATATATATTTTTTATTAACTTTTCTTTGTGTAAAGTGTGTACTGGTTTACTTTAATCTGTCAACCATGGGTGTTCTTGCTCTGTCACTGCCATCTACTGGTTAAATTGACATGAAAATAATGTTTCAGTCACACATATACAGTATACAGTGCAGTACCAGTGTGTGAAATGAATGGTTCAGACCAGTAATAAAGCTTTATTTTCTTTCCTGTTTCTAGTTGCATCCAAAATGCTATTTGGGACTAAATCTACAGTTTTGTTTTCACTGGCCTTTGTTCTGCAGCAGGATTGGATTAGTACAAATGTGAGAGTTGAGTCCAGGGCTGAAAACTTGTAATAGTACTTATTCCAGATAAGTAGATGATTTGTCATTTTTCCTGTGGAGACCCAATTTTCTCAAAGAGGGAAAGGTATAAAGGAAAAATGCTTAAAAATGTCTCGGTGGCTTGCCATCATGGAACCAATTTCTTGTGTAAAATGGAGGCTGTCTTAACATAATATTATACTACACAATTTCTGAACCCCAAAGGTCTATTTCTATTAACTGAAAAAATACTCTCCCTTTTTTTCTCTCCTCACACATCGCCTGCATGCTGCTCCACTGTTTTCTCCCTTTCTGCTCTTGTCAGCTGCTAAAGATGCATCCCGGCACGAATGTGAGAAAGCTCATCTAGAAGGGCGAGACAGAAACCAGGAGAGAGTATAAAATAACACGAAAACCTTGTGAGCTTGTATTTGATAGGCAGACAGAGAAAAAGAGATGGTAGGATAGTACAAGAGTGTTAAACCTCTGTCTGGTGTGAGTGTAGCTTTTATGCCTCTGCAGGTGCAGGCTGGATATATCATTGAGAACAGGTGCTGTGGTAGAATGTATGCCCCTCACAGCTGCAGCCAAGGAGATTACTGGCCAGGCCTTCCAGTAATGAAGTTTCTATCGATTGGCCCACCACAGGTTCTTGTTTCTGCTTGCTAACAGTTTGACTATTTCAGAGCTTCAATTTGAGGTTTTTGAGTACATCAATTAAGGTATAAAATGGAGTTTCCAGGAGGCTACGAAGTGCTTGAAAATGAAAAATAATCATATACCCATTTCTTATACTACCCTCACTCAAAACTTGAAGTCACATTTTGCTTCATCAATGTTAGAGAAAATCTATTTTTGCTCTGCAAT